AAGAAAGTTATAGTATAGGAACAGGCCCTTCGGCCCTCCAACCCTGCACTGACATGCTGCCCTTCACAACTAAAACCCACTACTCTTCTGGGGACCATATCCCTCTATTCCCATCCTATTCATGTATTTGTCAAGATGCCCTTTTAAAGTCACTATAGTATTTGCCTCCACTACTCCCCCCGGCAGTGTGTTCCAGGCACCCTTATTCTCTTATTCCCTGGTTATCACAATTTGTCCATTTTAAGAATAAAAGTTACTCATCCATTGATAGATAGTAACAAAATATGACTGTCTGGTCCAGGATTGTCTAAGGTTGATAAAAGGCAAATATTACTCTTGCGACAAAGTTTCAGGCAATGACCATCTGCATAGGAGATCCTCATCTCCTAACCTGACATCAATGGATGAAAATTTCTAAATTCCCCTGGAGATCACCTTTGACCAGAAGTTTAACTGAACCAGTCTTATAAATGCCATATTTACAAGAGTAGGTCAGAGGCTGGGAGTTCCATGGGAATAACTCCCCTCTTGACTTTCTAGAGTCTTTCCATGTTTACAAGATTTAAGTCAGGAGTTCGACAGGATACTGTGAGTACAGGTCAAACAACACTCAGGAATTTCATCACCATTAAGGCTAAAACTGCCCACTCAATTGGTATCCCATCCACCATATCAAATGCTCACTCCATCCATCACAGACTCTCAATGGTAACAATTTGTACCACCTGCAAGACACAGTGCAGAAACTTGCCAAGATTTCTTTAACAGCATCTTCTAAACCTGCAATCTCTGCTATCTAGAAGGTCATGGGTAGGAAACACTAAACCTGCAAGTTTGCCTGCAGGTCACATACGCTACTGATCTGGAATTATATTACCATTCCCACTGTTACTGGAGGAAAAATCCTGGTTCTCTTTCCCTAACAGCTTTGTGGTGTACCCACTAGATGATTTGCAATGGTTCAAGAAGGCAGTTTACCACCACCTTCTCAAGGGTAATTAGAGATGGGCAATAAAGTTGGTCCAGGCTGTGGCACTCATATCACCTGAATAAATACAGAAACAGAGATGTTTTATGTTGGATGGATCTATACCAGAATACTAAATGTTAGTGAAAAAGCAAACGTGCAAATTTTGACACTATATTATGGCAATTGGATGTGAAGTAAATATATAAATAATAAAGTATTTGTATTTTATATAATGAGATTTTCGTTAACATTTAAGAATTTTCTAACAACAGTGGTAGAAAAAATATTGATAAAAATTCTGAACATAGCATTAATCTCCACATGGACAGGCAAAATTAATCAGGAATAATCAGTATGGCTTTATCAGTGGGTGATTATGTCTGACAAGTTTGATTGAGTTTTTGAGGAAATTACTAAATATGGAGATGAGGTAGCGCAGTGGATGCAGCCTATGTCGACTTCAGTAAGGCTTTTGACAAGGTCTTTCTTGGGAACAAAAACAGAAGTTGCTGGAAAAGCTCAGCAGGTCTAGCAGCATCTGTGAAAAGAAATCAGAGTTAACATTTTGGGTCCAGTGACCCTTCCTCAGAACCTTGCTTGGGAGATTAGTTAAGAATGTAACAGCTCATGGAAACTTGTATCCAATGGCGTATGCAGAGTTCGGTGCTGGGTCCCTTGCTATTTGTGCTGTGCAGTTTTGAACTATACATGAATGTAGGAGATGTAATCAATAAATTTGTTGATGACAAAAACTGGTACGCAGGAAACAGCAAGTAGGAAAACCATTGACTACATTACAGGATGATATAGGCAAGCTGATCAGATAGGCAAAATAGTGGCTAATTGAATCTAATCCTGAAAGCATGAGATCATACATTTTAGGAGGACTAACAAGGCTAGGGAGTACACAATGAATGCTAGGATCCTAGAAAGTACAGAAGACCAGAAGGACCTTGGTGTACATGTCCATTGATCCTTATAGGCAACCGGTGGATGAGATAGTTGAGAAAGATATACAGCACTTACTTGTATAAGGCGATAAGTGAGTACAACAGCAAAGAGGAAGGGTCATGGACCTGTTCTGAGGAAGGGTCACTGATATCTCTCTACAGCTGCTGCCAGAATTGCACAGCCTTTCCAACAATTTCTGTTTTTGTTACAAGTGCAAGGAGGTTAGGATGGAACAAAAACAGAAAATGCTGGAAAGACATAGCAGGTCTGGCAGCATCCCTGGATAATAAGCAGACTTAACGCTTCAGGTCTCATGACCCTTCTTCAAAACTGATGGTAGCGAAGAAAAGGTTGGCATTTATGCAGAAGATGGGGTGCGGAAGAGGAGTAAACAATAGATATTGACCCTGAAGAAAGAGAAAAACAGTTGGATAGACAAAATAATACATAAAGATCAGCCTGGGAGACTATTATTAGCTGACAATGGATTGTGTGTGGTAGCAGCCCATGAGGATCATGTCCCTCATTTTCTGCTCAGGAACCCTGCAGCCTTTTGGACTCAGTAATGAGTTCAATAATTTCTGAGCTTGAGCACCTTCTCCCATGTCCATAACCCATCCCGATATACTTGGCCTTGTCATCACATAGACTGCTACCATACACAACCTATTGTCAGCTAATAATAGTCCCCCATTATCAGGTGTTTCATTCCACTAAACTGACCTTTATCCTTTCCTTTGTCTGTCCAACTCTCTTTCCTCTCTCTTTGGGCACTGTCTCCACTTATCGTTTACTCCTCCCCCACACGATCTTCTGCATAAATATCAACCTTCTCCCAGCTACCATCGGTTCAGGAAAAGGGTCACTACATTCGAAACAACTCTGCCCCACCCCACCTCACACTACCAGATCTGCTGAGTTTTATCCAGCAATTTCTGTGTGAAAATAGATAAGTCCCCTGGGCCAGATGGGATTTATCCTAGGATTCTCTGGGAAGCGAGAGAGGAGATTGCAGAGCCTTTGGCTTTGATCTTTATGTCGTCATTGTCTTCAGGAATAGTGCCAGAAGACTGGAGACTAGCAAATGTTGTCCCCTTGTTCAAGAAGGGGAGTGGAGACAACCCTGGTAATTACAGACCAGTGAGCCTTACTTCGGTTGTGGGTAAAGTGTTGGAAAGGATTATAAGAGATAGGATTTATAATCATCTAGAAAGGAATAATTTGATTAGGGATAGTCAACACGGTTTTGTGAAGGGTAGGTCGTGCCTCACAAACCTTATTGAGTTCTTCGAGAAGGTGACCAAACAGGTGGATGAGGGTAAAGCGGTTGATGTGGTGTATATGGATTTCAGTAAAGCGTTTGATAAGGTTCCCCATGGTAGGCTATTGCAGAAAATACGGAGGCATGGGATTGAGGGTGATTTAGCGGTTTGGATCAGAAATTGGCTAGCTGTAAGAAGACAGAGGGTGGTGGTTGATGGGAAATGTTCATCCTGGAGTTCAGTTACTAGTGGTGTACCTCAAGGATCTGTTTTGGGGCCACTGCTGTTTGTCATTTTTATAAATGACCTGGATGAGGGCGTAGAACGATGGGTTAGTAAATTTGCGGATGACACCAAAGTCGGTGGAGTTGTGGATAGTGCAGAAGGACGTTGCAGGTTACAGAGGGACATAGATAAGCTGCAGAGCTGGGCTGAGAGGTGGCAAATGGAGTTTAATGCCGAAAAATGTGAGGTGATTCACTTTGGAAGCAGTAACAGGAATACAGAGTACTGGGCTCATGGTAAGATTCTTGGTAGTGTGGATGAGCAGAAAGATCTCGGTGTCCATGTGCATAGATCACTGAAAGTTGCCACCCAGGTTGATAGCGTTGTTAAGAAGGCGTACAGTATGTTAGGTTTTATTGGTAGAGGGATTGAGTTTCGGAGCCATGAGGTCATGTTGCAGCTGTACAAAACTCTGGTGCGGCCGCACTTGGAGTATTGCGTACAGTTCTGGTCACCGCATTATAGGAAGGATGTGGAAGCATTGGAAAGGGTGCAGAGGAGATTTACCAGGATGTTGCCTGGTATGGAGGGAAGGTCTTATGAGGAAAGGCTGAGGGTTTTGAGGCTGTTTTCGTTAGAGAGAAGAAGGTTAAGAAGTGACTTGATAGAGACATACAAGATGATCAGAGGATTAGATAGGGTGGACAGTGGGAGCCTTTTTCCTCGGATGGTGATGGCTAGCACGAGGGGACATAGCTTTAAATTGAGGGGTGATAGATATAGGACAGATGTCAGAGGTAGGTTCTTTACTCAGAGAGTAGTAAGGGCATGGAATGCCCTGCCTGCAAAAATAGTAGACTCGCCCACTTTAAGGGCATTTAAATGGTCATTGGATAAACATATGGATGACAATGGAATAGTTTAGGTTAGATGGGCTTCAGATTGGTTTCACAGGTCGGCGCAACATCGAGGGCCGAAGGGCCTGTACTGCGCTGTAATGTTCTATGTTCTTGTTTCTGAGCGTCCACAATTCTTTCGGTTTACTTGAAATTAGGACGGAGCTGGAGTACTGTGTGCAGTTCTGGTTGCCACGGTGTAGGGAGGACGTGATTGCACCAGTGAGGGTGCATAGGCGATTCACAAAGATGTTTTGGGCCTGGAGTGCTTTCAGGCATGCGGAGAGACTCGATGGGGTGGAGTGGTTTTCACGAGAGCAGAGAAAGCTGGAGAGTGCCCCGTTACTAGGGGACACACATAGAAAGAAACTTTTCCTCTTCGTAGAGAGACCAGTAACCAAGGAGGATAGATTTGAGACTAAGGGCAGGAGGTTTAAATGGGAATTATACTTTTTCCACTACCTGGAACTCACTACCTGAAAAGGTGGTGGAGACGGAAACCGACACAACGTGGTAGAAGTATTTTGACGGGCACTTGATGCGCCATAGCAATGGGCCAACAGGACTGGCAATAGATAGGTGCAGCCGCGATGAGGCTGGAAGGTGTTGTTCAGTGCTGCATGAGCCTGAGCGCTAATGGCCAATCATTGACCTGCACTTGCAACATGAAGATGTAACAAGCCGCCCAAACGTTTGTTTAGGAGAACGAACGCGCGATGCAGACGTCACTTCCGCGGGTGGTGAGATGAGTAGGGCGCTCTCGCGATGTTTGACGGCAGGCCGGTGGCCGGCGCGCGGTGTCTCTATGGAGCTCACGGCCTCCGGGATGATCATGGCGGACTTTGATGCGATCTACGAAGAAGAGGAAGACGAGGAACGAGCGCTGGAGGAGCAGCTTCTGAAATATGCGCCCGATCCGGTGGTAGTGCGAGGATCAGGACACGTCACTGTGTAAGCACGACCGAAAGATCGCGGCGGGGGATTAACCCGGAGCGGCGGGAGGCACCGGCAAGCGGGGCCAAACACAGCCGCCTTGTCTAGCCCCTGTGGCCGGGTGACACCGTGTTGACGGGCAGTGACAGTGACTGCCCGCTCGGGGTGACTGACATACTTCCTGGTACTTCGCCCGGATAAATTGCTGCTGACGGTATATCCGACATTGCTTCGTTGCAGCTAACAGTCTGACTCAGTCAAAGTCAACTGCGAGCAGAGGAGCATTCTCCCGCGCCCCCCCTCCCCTCCCGTTTGCAAGTGATGGGAACAGTAGATCAGCATCATTCAAAAGAAAGAAAGACAGAAGATAGCATCCTGTAAAGTGATGCTCAGCGTAATGCGTCTCACCTCCTTGTAGCTGCGTGGAACAGCTGAGTAAAGATGCAGGATCATTGCCAGGTTGTGGTGGATCCTGGTGTTGTGCTCTTTGCATGTTTCCTTTTTGGTTCCTTTATCGTTTATGTCATATGTATTCTTACGACTGTTCCTTATCGTAAAGTAATCATTTATGGATATTATCGTAATATGCATGAAGATAGCATTGTTAATTTTATTGGGTATATACTTGTAGTTTCAGGTGTGGGGAAAAATTGTGTTGCAAGCGTATCAGCAAATTTTAGAGCCTCATTCATGGTGCCTGCTTGTGTGAAATTCTGTATGTTTTTAGAATCACTACAGAACACAACAAGACCTACTCCCCTGCCCTTTCCCTGTAGCCTGGTGAATTCCTTCACTTTAAAAGGTGTCCAAGAAGAATATTTTAGAACGCAAAGACTGAATATGCCTCCTGACTTCTATTCCAGACTATAGACACTGGCTGAATAAAAAAATTTTTCGTTGTGTTGGTTTTGCTACTTATGCCATTCACACTAAAACTCTGCCGTGTTATTCTCAATCTTTTAATAATGAAACGTCTTTTCCTCTCTCTGTTCTGTCTAGACTGTTCATGGTTTTGAACACGCCTGCTAAATACCCTCTCAATTCTCTTGAATGAGAACAAACCCAATTTCTCCAATCTGAAATTCCTCATCCTTGGAGCCATTCTCATTTTTTTTCCATGCCTTTTTTAAAGCTTTCGTATCCTTGCAAAAATGCAGTGCATATCGGGTTCCATCTTGTTGAAAGATTTGCCATTTAAAAAAAAACAAAGATAGTAAGAACTGCAGATGCTGGAGTCAGAGATAACACAGTATGGAGCTGGAGGAACACAGCAGGCCAGGCAGCATCCGAGGAGCGGGAAAGTTGCCGTTTCGGGTTGGGACCCTCCTTCAGAAAAAGAGTCCCAACCCGAAACATCAACTTTCCTGCTCCTTTGATGCTGCCTGGCCTGCTGCGTTCCTCCAGCTCCACACTGTGTTATCTCTGTCATTAAAAAAAAACCTTGTTTTTATACTACATGCCTCTGTTTATAAAGCCCAGGATCCAGAATGCTTTATTTTGTAACTATTTTCTCAACCTGCCCTGTCAGCATCAATGATTTGTACTCCTATCTCCCCAGTTCTTTGTTCTTGCAAAGAATGGATGCTTTAGTTTATATTGTTTCTCTTTGTTCTTCTATTCCAAGTGCATCATTTCACACTGTTCTAACTTGAATGTTATCTATAGTATGTCCACTAATTCCACCAGCCTGTCTGTGTTCTCTTCCTCCTCGTAGTTCACTTCTAGGTTTTGTCATTTGCAAATTTTGAAACCCCGTATCCTGTTAGGTCATTGACATATGTCAAACAAAACACTCATCCTTGTACTGATCCTTGGGATTCCAAGTCCAAAAAACACTGTTCTTTTCTCTGTTTTCTGTTACTTGGCCAATTTCACATCCATGCTGTTACACTCCTTCAGTTTCAACTGCTGTGGCAAACCAATTGTGTAGTATTTTGTCAAATGCTTTTTGGAAGTCCATACAGACCACATCAACCAGTTTGCTGTCATCAAAAAAGTTCAATCGATTTTCTTCACCTTGTGAAAAGAAATGTGGATGTGTGCATTGCTTGCATGGCCCACATTTACTACAAACTTACTCACTTACTGCTGCCTTGAACTATTGTAGTTTGTCTATTATTGTTACATTCACGATACTATTAGGAAAAGAATTCCAGGATTCAGACCCAGTGACCATGAAGGAATGGAAATATAGCTCCATGTTAGGATGATTAGAATCACATCCAGCATTGCACAATTCCTTGTTGGACTGAAAATATACTGGCCAAGTAGATTCTCTGAAACATGCTTCAGAATCGCCTGACTCTTGTGCTTTAGACGGCTATTTTAGTCTATAATAATAGACTAACTAAAGCCCTTCATTATGACAACTCTGGATTCTCAAATAACTTGGAGTGGGGAAAAAAAATGGTGGACTGAGAGTAGTGTGGATCTTGTAGCTGCTCCTGAGATTGCAAGCTTACTTCTAGATTTAATATAGTTATTACATTTCAGCAGTATAAGATTTTTACAGTTACAATATTTAAAAGACATTTGGATAAGTATGTGAATAAGAAGTGTTTGGTGGGATATGGGCCAAGCGCAGGCAGGTGGGACTAGCTTAGTTTGGGATTATGTTCGGCATGGACTGTTTGGACCAAAGGGTCTGTTTCAGTGCTGTATGACTGTTCAAAAAGTAGATCAGTTGGTGTTTCATGCGATGTGGGTGGCACGGTGGCTCACAGCATCAGAGACCTAGGCTCACTAGCCTCAGGCAACTGTCTTTGTGGAGTTTGCACATTTTCCTCATGTCTGTGTGTGTTTCCTCCAGGTGCTCCAGTTTCCTCCCACAGTCCAAAGATGTGCAAGTTAGGTGGATTGGCCATGCTAAATTTCCCATAGTGTTCAGGGATGGGCAGGCTGGGTGAATTAACCATGGGAATGCAGGGTTACAAGGATTGGGTAGGAGAGTGGATCTAGGTGGGATGCTGTTCAGATGGGCAGCATAGACTACCTGTGCTGGATGGCCTGCTTCCATACTGTAGGAATTCTGATTAGACCAAATCTTGATTTGCAGATCTGATTGCAACTGTAACACTTAAATTTACTGTTACAGGGTTGGCTGAAAGCACTGGCTTTGCATGTTTGCTCATCATGTATTGATCTGACACTATTCTCCTTGTTGAAATTGTTTGATGACTGGTCCATGATTTTTTTCCCCAGTGTATCATTATTCTGTATTACTTTATATTTGGGAAGGTGGGCATTCACTGGCAAAACCAGTATTTATTGTCCTTCCTAAATGCCCTTTCATTTGACTTGAATATGAGCAAGTAGCATGCTAAGCTATTTCAGAGGGCAGTTAAGAGTCAGCCAAAGTGCTGAGAGTCTGGAATTGCTTGGGGCAGAGTGGATGATTGATGACAGATTTCTCTCCCTGAAGAACCGAAGGAAATCACATGGAATTTAATGATATTCTAGTAGTTTCATGGTCATTATTGAGACGAGCTTTTTATTTCCAATTTATTTAATCTGAATTCTCTAGCTGCTGTGGTGGGTTTTGAACTCATGTCTCCAGAGAATTAGTTGGTATCTCTGGATTGCTAGCAGAATAATGTGACTGCTGTACTGTAATACCCCTTTTGTTCTCTGTAATTTCCCTGCAAATTTGTTCCTCTACCTTTTTCAGTCATTGTTATCTCTGTTGTTTCTTAAATCAAACCAAGTATATCCTTGACCCCACCAGGACACCCTGTTTCTAAATGCTGTCGTCTTTAAGACTGCTATATCATAAGACTGTTTTCTAGCTTCTTAAAATCTAGCTGTAGTATCTTCTCCTTTTAAACAATGCAGCTGGTACTAATATGTACTACAACCTTTGGTTGTTCTGCCCACCAGCCTTTTGTGTAGCTGCTGAGTGACATGGTGCATTCTGACATCAAGGGAGGTAATATACATCTTGGCATCATGCTTGCTGTTGCAGAATCATCTGACTGTTCCCCTAAACTTCAGAATTCCCTTTTGCAGTTGCTTTCCAAGTACCCTTATTGTTGTATGCGAATCCCTCTATGACCTTCTCCCTCAACCTCTGCAACAGTATTGAGTTTCAAGTAGTTTAAGCATTTTTACACTCTCTTGTTTTCTTCAACTACTTAGCTTTGTTACTCATTTGAAGTAATTATAGAGTTAGTCATATAGCACGGAGACAGGTCTTTGGGCCGAACTCGTCCATGTTGTACCAGGTTTCCTAAACTGAACTAGTACCATTTTCCTACATTTGGCCCATATCCCTCTAAACCAGTCCTATCCATGTACCAGTCCAAATGTCTTTTAGAGGTTGTAATAGCCTCCACTATTTCCTCTGGCAGCTCGTTCGATAAACACACCACCCTTTGTGTTAAAAAAGTTGCCTCTCGAGTCCCTTTTAAATCTTTCCCCTCTCTCCTTAAACCTACACCCTGTAGTTTTAGATCTCCCCTATCCTGGAGGAAAATACCTGGGATATCCATGCTTCTCATGATTTTATAAACCTCTATAAGGTCACCTCTCCGCCTCCAACGCTCCAGGGGGAGAAATGTTCCAGCCTCTCCTTGCAACTGAAACCTTCCAATCTTGGTAACATTCTTGTAAATCTTTTTTGCACCGTTTCCAGTTTAATAATATCCTTCCTATAGCAGGGCTACCAGAATTGTACGCAGTACTCCAAATGTGGTCTCACCAATGTCTTGTACAGCTGTAACATGAAGTCCCAATTCTTGTACTCAGTCCTCTGATCGATGAAGGCAAGCATTCCATATGCTGCCTTCACCACCCTGTCTACCTGTGATGCCACTTTCAAGGAACTATGTACCTGCACCCTTGTGTCTGTCCATTTAACAGCAATCCCCTGGGCTCTACCTTTAATTGTGTAAGACTTGCCCTGGTTGTCTTACCAAAATGCAACACATCACATTTATCTGAATTAAACTCCATCTACCATTCCGAGGCCCACTGGCACAGTTGATCAAGATCTTGTTGCACTCTTAGGTAACCTTCTTCAC